ACGAAGAGAAATTGTCTTAGCTTCAATCATGATCATTCATGTACACATATGTGTGACCTACTTTCGAGTTATACTGACAATTTATGATTTCGTCTAGCTGTTTATTGGCATTCATGCATTGCTTACGATGTAATCACGAAGAATTTTGTCCTTGATCAAGTACTGTTCTCTTATGTACCAGATACTTTTCATAATTCTTGTCACTTCTCGCTTTAGAACTAAAGTTTTATAATAGTGGCTACACCCGCCCTACCCCCCTGAGAACTCCATCAACCATATCTCATGTTATTTCTAGTCGCATAGACTTGCACTTGACTTGACTTCCTCTTTACGTAAACATGAAAGGCCATGCCGTCCATTCTGTAGAAAGGAGAAAGATATTGACTCCGATGAGGTTCGATTGCCGAATAGTTCGAGTAGTAACCTCGGGACTAATATTCACTCTTGTTCTGTCCTAGTTTTGTCTGTGTTAGTTTTAAAACATCCTCTTTTTTCCACGTTTTTTTTTAGGTTTTCCAGATCATAATTAGAGCTATTACTTTAGCAAAACGTGCACGTTACAATCCTTTGCTGTTGTTTGTGTTAAAATATTTCTGGCGGCATTCCAAATGCGCACCGTCGAGAGACCAAAACCTGAAGGGTATTTTGACACCAGGAAAGCGCGTGCAACAAGCAAGTTTCGACGCTTGGAATATTAATCCTTCGCAAACGTAAGTTACTTCGACATTTAAACCCTAGTCAGAGTTGTAACGGTTTCAGATTATATTTCGGCGTTTCTGTGCGGTTTAACATGATTCCTTTCAACTGATTTTTGCGATAAACCATAATGAAGAGACGAATACGCAGTTCAAATCACAGTTAGTAGAGGGGATTATTGTCGAAATACTCGCTTGCAAAAGTTTTAATCGTATTGAAACCTTAAAATCAGAAAAGTTATTTACTTACCTGAATTTAAATGCTAGACAGGGTCACAGTACCGCTAACTAAATTCTGCTTCAAGGCAGAATCGAAGTTAAGTTTGTATATGTTTTCAATCTGTCAACACGAGGGAAGACGACATTCCGGAAGTGCGTGACGCGTAACGCGCCGGAAAAGAAATTCGTGGTATAAGTGTTTTACGGTGCAAGTCTTTGTTGTATGTTCGTATAGCATCTCGCACATATTCAAACTTGGCTTGTGGCGCCTGTGGCAGCAGTAATGCTGAATGTATTGCGATCATAGAAAAGATGTCGTGAGTCACCTTGGTATGCTCCTGACTTGTTAATAAGGTGAGTATGTAGGACAATAACCAAACATCGACCCTACCATGCTAATGATAAAAGTAAGGTTTTCTGCATTTACGTTAGGTGATCTTTGTTTGATCCACAAAATTGGCGCATGAAAATAAGAGTTTTTCCTCACTACCTTTAAATGTTTGGTTTCGAGTAGCGGTCCAACAAATCACGTGGTACCGTTCTAGATCAACCTACTGGCTGCTCATAGAGGGGTCCATAAAGGCACATTGATTGATGACTCTGTATGGCCTGAACTGAAAATGATATAGCAGACGTTTTCTGAGCAACGAATGTGCAGCTTTTACACTCCTCTTTCGTTTCGAAAACAGACGAGCACGCGAGCGAAGCGAGCGAGCGAGAGAGAGCCCCTTACTCTACTGGCCCCGGTTGTTCAAACGTTGTATAGCGCTATCCACCGGATAAATCACTATCCAGCGGATAGCGTAATTGATTTCCGTAATACTTATCTGCTGGATAGTGATTTATCCGGTGGATAGCGCTATCCAACGTTTGAACAACCGGGGCCAGGTCAATATATCCCCCGCGGCTTTTATTTTCATACGCAAAATCGACGATCTCCAAAGAGAAAATAGATGGACGATCTCTAATGAAAAAGTAGAGGGTCTGTGAACAGGCTACGAAGGTGCTTGCTATTATTTTAGTGAACTTTACAAGAGGTCTCAGGTGATTATGCTAACGTCATGAAAAGTCTACTTTAGGGAAGGAGGAGGAGATGGGTGGGTTGGTTGGCATTGGGTTCTCCATTAGGATCAACCCTACACATACAACAATCCATGTCTTTATCACTACATTTAGAGCTAGCAGACTTTGTTTGATCCACAAAATTGGCGCATAAAAATAAAAGTTTTTCCTCAGCACCGCTAAATGTTTGGTTCCGGGTGGCGGAGAACAAATCACGTTGTTCCGTTCCGGAACAGCCTACTGGCCATGCTGGCTGCTCATTTAAAAGGGGTCCGTAAAGGCACATTAATTGATGACTCTGTACGGCCTGAAGAAAATTATATACGCAGACGTTTTCTGAGCGACGATGGTGCTGCCTTTACACTTCTTTTTCTTTTCGAAAATGGCCACGGACTTCTCTCCTCGCTCCTCGCCGCTAGGCGGACGTTTTTGCCTGAGAGATACCCGGCCATGAAGGAGTTTTAGCAAACAAGTCATTGCAGGTGCAGACCTACGAAAAGGGCATTCTCCATCTGAAATTTTAAATCGAAATGAAAGGCTGTTTTCAGCCTTTTATCTCTTTTCTCCGCAACGTATTTGGTTAAAAGATAGTAAGTAAAATGGCTGAGGCACTTTAAAGCATTTTTTTCATTTACGCGACGGATTTTGACGTTATGTATGGTGGCCGACAACTGCCATACGTCAACACGACATAAATTTGTTAATTTTAGATTGAACTTTAATTATTTTGAATTGAAAATAAAACGAAAGAAAAACGTCAAATTATTTTGTTTTTCATTGAACTGGAACAGGAGCCCATCAGGCTCCTGACTGGAAATAGATTCATTTTGTAAAATTTCAAAACAAACTTTGTTATTATGAAATGAAAATAAAAATAAAAGTGAAATAGAAGCAGAAGTGAAACTAATTTGTTCACGGCCGGGAACAGCCATTCAAAACAGAAAAAGTAAAATTATTATGTTCGCGGCCGGGAACTGCCATTCAAAACAGGAAAAGTAAAACTAGTATGTTCATGGCCGGGAACTGCCTTTTAAAACGGAAAAAGTAAAATTAATATGTTCATGGCCGGGAACTGCCGTTCAAAACAAACAAAAAGTAAAATTAATAGGTTCATGGCCGGGAACTGCCGTTCAAAAAAAAAAGAAAGAAAGAAACCTGAGACTTTTGGCGGGAGACGATAGTCTTCCTCGCAGCCGCTCGGGCTGGGGTCACCCAATTCTCCCCGCTGTCATACATTCCTTTCCCACTAACCTCGTTCAGTTAAGTGTAAACAGGCTAAATTCTTTCCCAGGTTGTCTCTCCGTTGGAGAGAATCCTGGGAACGAGGTTGCCTTTCTAGACGTCGACGGTTTGTTAAAGCTACAGAGGTGTTTTAGCTCATGGATGACGTAGTCATGCCATGGGCTTTTGGAGACACTCGAATGGCACTCGATCACTCACTCACTCACTCACTCACTCACTCACTCACTCACTCACCCACTCACTTACTCACTTACTTGATATGGAGAAGATGCGATCGACAGAGTGTGAAAGAGCTATCGAAGCCGGACGATGTGATTTCCTTCAGCGAAATTAAAGCAAATAAGCCAAAGAGTGACCAAAGAGCCTTAGCTGCAAAAAACGGTCCTCGAATTGTAAAGCAGCGTTGACGTTTACATGAGAAAGCAAATTATTTTACAACTAAAAAGAGTTAATAAGCTTAAGGTGATCTTTGCGTTATTAAAAGAAATGCTGCACTGATAACAAGGTTCTAGAATATTCAGGTGCACATGCAATCGGATACTTACACTGTGTCGGGTTTGAATTCCTAAGGTCAGAACAAGTGCAGCTTTGGGCAAGGATCTAACTCCCTTAAATGCGTGAGTGCTATAGAGATGCCAACAAGTTACTATAGAAATGCTGACGAAATGCTTTTTAAAACAGACAATGTATGCCAAAAAGTAGATGCCAAAAAACAAATGCTAAATACCGTATGCCAAAAAGTAGATGCCAAAAAACAAATGCTAAATACCGTATGCCAAAACACATGCCAAAAATAAAATGCTAAAGAAAGGTAAACATTATCTATCAAGTAACCAACACACAAAGAAAGTCATAAAATATAAAGAAAGAAAAAACTAAGGAGAAAGTGAATATGTTACAGTGCCCAAGCAGTTTAAAACAAATGAATTTCGAAATGGAATGTTTCTCAAGCCTTCAAAGTTGCTATAAATACAGAGGTGATAATCTTCAACAATAACGAAACTCAATCAATTACCAAATCAAAACGAAAAACTATTTTCTTTTCCGTTGAACTGGAAATAGATTAATTTTTCCTTTATTTTCAACTCAAAACAAAACATTTTTATTATCAAATGAGAATAAAAATAAAAGTGAAATAAAAGCAGACGTAAAATTAATATGTTCACGGACGGGAACTGCCAAATATGTCATGGCCGGAAACTGCCATTCAAAACAGAAAATGTAAAATTAGTATGTTCGTAGCCGGGAACTGCCGTTCAAGACAGAAAAGTAAAATTAATATGTTCATGGCCGGAAAGTGCCGTTCTTTGTGTCATTACGCAAGTAGACTAGATCAAAGGCTCCTAGGAGCAAGCTCATGGATGAATTGAATCGTAAACGGGCATGGGTGCTAAGTGCCACTGCTCTGGAATTTCGTGATTGAGTTTCGTTATTGTTGAAGATTATCACCTCTGTATTTATAGTAACTTTGAAGGCTTGAGAAACATTCCATTTCGAAATTCATTTGTTTTAAACTGCTTGGGCACTGTAACATATTCACTTTCTCCTTAGTTTTTTCCTTTTTTATATTTCATGACTCTCTGTGTGTTGGTTACTTGATAGATAATGTTTACATTTCTTTAGCATTTTATTTTTGGCATGTGTTTTGGCATACGGTATTTAGCATTCGTTTTTTGGCATCTACTTTTTGGCATACATTGTCTGTTTTAAAAAGCATTTCGTCAGCATTTCTATAGTAACTTGTTGGCATCTCTATAGCACTCACGCATTTAAGGGAGTTAGATCCTTGCCCAAAGCTGCACTTGTTCTGACCTTAGGAATTCAAACCCGACACAGTGTAAGTATCCGATTGCATGTGCACCTGAATATTCTAGAACCTTGTTATCAGTGCAGCATTTCTTTTAATAACGCAAAGATCACCTTAAGCTTATTAACTCTTTTTAGTTGTAAAATAATTTGCTTTCTCATGTAAACGTCAACGCCGCTTTACAATTCGAGGACCGTTTTTTGCAGCTAAGGCTCTTTGGTCACTCTTTGGCTTACTTGCTTTAATTTCGCTGAAGGAAATCACATCGTCAGGCTTCGATAGCTCTTTCACACTCTGTCGATCGCATCTTCTCCACTTGTCAGTGTCTCCAAAAGCCCATGGCATGACTACTTCATCCATGAGCTAAAAAACCTCTGTAGCTTTAACAAACCGTCGACGTCTAGAAAGGCAACCTCGTTCCCAGGATTCTCTCCAACGGAGAGACAACCTGGGAAAGAATTTAGCCTGTCAACACTTAACTGAACGAGGTTAGTGGGAAAGGAATGTATGACAGCGGGGAGAATTGGGTGACCCCAGCCCGAGCGGCTGCGAGGAAGACTATCGTCTCCCGCCAAAAGTCTCAGGTTTCTTTATTTCTTTTTTTTTTTTTTTGAACGGCAGTTCCTGGCCATGAACCTATTAATTTTACTTTTTGTTTGTTTTGAACGGCAGTTCCCGGCCATGAACATATTAATTTTACTTTTCCCGTTTTAAAAGGCAGTTCCCGGCCATGAACATACTAGTTTTACTTTTCCTGTTTTGAATGGCAGTTCCCGGCCGCGAACATAATAATTTTACTTTTTCTGTTTTGAATGGCTGTTCCCGGCCGTGAACAAATTAGTTTCACTTCTGCTTCTATTTCACTTTTATTTTTATTTTCATTTCATAATAAAAATGTTTTGTTTTGTTTTGAAAATTAACAAAATGAATCTATTTCCAGTTCAATGAAAAACAAAATAATTTGACGTTTTACTTTCGCTTTATTTTCAATTCAAAATAATTAAAGTTCAATCTAAAATTAACAAATTTATGTCGTTTTGACAAATGGCAGTTGTCGGCCACCATAGTTATGAAAAAGAACTTGTCAGTGAATTGGTTTATTTCTAGCCTGCGAACAAGTGCCGGGGGGTGGTGGCGGACAGAGCCAGGTGACTATTCCTTTTTTCGGGCGGGAGCTAGCAGTACGTGCATTCTGGTCTAACTCCATACTGTGTAGACTGGACAATTCGTCAACAGCAGGTTAAGGTCTCGCCAGAAGATGCCCTTGCTGCAGAGGAGCAAAGCAATACTACTTTCAGTAATTTAAACATGTTAAATACTTGTATTTCGCTCATCAAATGTGTCCATTGTCCATTGTCGATTTGTGGTTTACAGGAATGTTCTTTTGCGGAGCATTGGCCAATTTTCTTTAAACAGTTTCACTCGTTTCCATTCCCCTGCTCTACCTTCATGTTGCATATGGCGTACGTGTGTACCTAAATCCCTCAATTCATACTGAGGTGATCGATAAAGAAGTCTACACGCTAAGCGGGGTTAAGATTAGTTTATTACAAGCAAAGGCTCAGAAGGCTAAGTGCAAATAAAAGAAAACTAGTGTGAAAAGTTTTGCAGACTCGGCTTACTCTATTTGTTTTCTCTCTCTATTTGAGTTTCGGCTCGTGACATCCTAAAATCAAGTTTAGTTCCACGTGTTTTGGGAATATAAAATATAAAACTAAAAAAAGAGTGTTAATTGTCATTTTATTTTTTTCTTGTACACTCGTGCGATGATTTATCCTTTTCTGTACAGTTGCGTGACCAGACTCAAATTACACACGGGCTTCATCACGCATCACAGGGTTTAGTCCGAGGCTAAACGACGGAAGACTTCAGTAAACTGCGGCCACTTGCGATTGAAACGACTGTGGTAAGTAATTCTTAGAGATCTCGAATCCCATTTAGAGCTAGCACGCCGTTTCTAGCGGCTTCAATTTAGGTGCAGAAACTCGAGGTCAATATTTACACTCTATGAGAAACGAGGGGTGACAGCTCTGACAAGGGCTGTTTCGGGAGAAAAACAAATTTATTCCGGGAATCTGGAGATTTTGCCGGGAATAGGGACACCTGGGAAGTTTTTCGGGAAATATGAGATATTTTCGGGACATTGACATTGAGCAAAGATTTGATATTGCATGTTATCAAACAATATAATATGCACAGTGATATGCACCCTTTGTATGCGCTGGTGTATTTTATGTATTTTGACCCTTGAAAACAGTTTAACTCCCCATGATATGAAAAGACCAATCAGCAACGTTTCCAACTAAAATAGCATGAACTTGGAGTGCGATTGACCACGTGCAATCCCCAGAGGATTGACACAAGAACTGTGCCGGTGCAAGGCACGTACTATCAGAATACTTAGCTGAAAGTGATGTCCAGAACAATTTCAAAAACCGCACAAAATATAAAATAAAATCGACTACCTCTACGCGAAGTCACGCCACTAAAAATAAGCATAAAAATGACAATTGATTTAAAGAACATTTTGGAGAGAATTTGTCCTCTCAGAACACTAGAAATGGCGTTTCACACAACCAAGATTTCAAAATTTTCTGGGGGAGCATGCCCCCAGATCCCCCTAGTGGCTGGCCCCTTCAACGCTCGCCTGATTCGTCGGTGATTTAAAAAAAAAACCACGATTTTATATACTTAAAAAGTTGGACAGTCTTTCTGTGTTAACATGACACCCTCAGCTTTCTACTCCTCTAAACAAAAAAATAACTAAGGTTAGATGATTAACAAGTTACATAATTAAAAGAAGCTACAAAAGATATTTAATCAAAATTTTAATTTTAATTGTTAAAACAATTTTGGAAAGTTAAAAATTAAACATGGGAAATTCCACCGAAAAATTTGGGAGGGTCGTCCAAATTTCCGGGAGGACAAAGTTTTTCATAGGACTGCCCAAACAGCCTTTGTTAGAGTTGTCACCCCCCTTTTGAGAACTTAACAGCGTTGTTTTTTTCAGCTACTTGCGTGCAATCAAATGCAGTGTTAATCTACTTAGTTCTTTTTTGTAACCATCAAATTAAAAAGCCTTTTTCAAAAGATTTTAAGAACTTCCCGTAATGTGCCCCTTGTAAAAGAAGCTAAGTTAGCAAAAACTTTTGTGTACCCACCCTCGCGGCTAGCTTGTTTTCAGCGTTCCAACGAGAGAAAATACGCTGCACGTTTCGGTGTCTCAGCGACGCACTTTTGTAATGCCGCCAAAAAATTTTTAACACAAGAAACGGCAAAGGATGTGCTTTAAAATAGTGTTTGTTTCATGTTGAAATTCCGTGTATCAATTGTTTTTTTCGATGGTGAAGTTAGGTCAAATTTGCCATTTTTGAAAACAGGCGAAATCGTGTTTCTTCTTGCGGCCAACACAGTCACATTTAAACAGCTTATCTAAAGATAATTGCAGAATTATAAAGTACAAGTCTGTGTTTTCCTTGTGACTTGATTTCATTTAGAGATATCGTCCCGTTTTTATGTACGAGCGCGAAGAAAATGCTTAATTTTCGCTAATTTCATACTCGAAAGAGCGGCGATTTGGTGTTTTTCATACTTTGCCCGATTCAGGAAAAAATAAAAAGCCGTTACAAGTGTTAATGTGATTTTTGAAATAAGTGTACTATAGCGATTATGTGGGCAAAATATGAAGAAATTCAAAAATTCACGACTGTCAACCGATTCTCGAAAATTACAGACATTGGCTCTTAAAAAGTGTTGCCAACGTCACGCCATTGATTATCAATGGTCTGATTTTACCAAATTATTGTTTTTTGTGATCTAAATATGTTCAGCGTCACTACAGTTAGTTGGGTTTTCTTACACTACTAATGGATTTTATGTTCTCAGCACCACTGTATGCTGTCAGATTTGTGTCGGACGTAGACTTTCGGAAACTTTTTCAGTCGATTTTTTTAAAGAATATCTCTTTGCATGTCTACTTAGCCTGCGTAGCAAGCGTTTCTGTGCGGTTTAGGAGCAAAGAATAAGGAACAAGAGTCACAGACCGCGCGAAAAATGGGTTCTCGTTTCATTTCTCCCGCGGTCAAAACCGAAAGTCCCCTTCTACGAGCTTTTTTTGCTCCGAAACCAAACGGAAACGCTTGTTACGCAGGCTAATGTCTACTAAGCTAACCCTATGTCTAAGCCTTGCACCATTTTTGATTAACGTATTTCAGTTCGAACCTACTCTACTTTAATCTACTCCACTTTCGTTCTAGGTCTGCGCTGCAACTAAGAATTACGTTTACGTTTACTAGCTACATATATCTTATTAGACGTTTTGTTGTGTAGTATCGCTGAGTATTTTTACGAGTTCTGCCATATTTTAACGAGCCCATAGGACGAGTCAAAATACAAACAACAAGTAAAAATACTCAGCGATACTACACAACAAAACGTCTTATAAGAGATATATTATCCAAATGACGCCAAATTGTTATTTCGGTGCGGGCGAATTTCGCGGATATTTCTGGAGTACAAATATCCCATGATATTTGTACTCGTCTCACGCGTTATTTGTACTCTACGAAGGACAGTTGGATAATAATGCATTAACGCATTTCAACAAATTGTTTCATTCCCTGTTCTTAAGTTTAAACCTTATTTATAAATCTGTTATTATTCATTCAAAATATTTTCCCGATTCTGATTGGCTAAAAGCACACGTTTAATTCACCATAACCAGTTACTGATGACCAAATTTGGAAGAATTTTGTGTTAAACGAGGAAATGACGTCAAAAATGCAGCGTTTTCGCAGGTTAAGGCACCGTTAACCAAGAAGACCTGGGGACAAGGCTGAATTGTTTTGGTTGTGAACTTGAAAAATGGTGGACATTTCACTCGTTTCAAGAGTAAGAAATAGGCGAAACAATAGCTAAAAACATGGCAAGAACAGCAAGACGACAACTTGAAGGGCGACATATACTATTTGGAGAATATTTGCGGAGTTAGACAAACCTAAACGTGCACTATCGAAGATGAACTTAACATCGATGGGTCGATGGAGGTAAGCATGTTTTAGCCATGTTTTTAAACTTGGAATTAGTTTGAATGAACAATAAAGCAATTATTGAATTCGGTTTTCGTAGATTGAGATCTCGGAGGGTGTTATCCGCCTCGGCCTACGGCCTCGACGAATAACACCCTCCTCGATCTCCATAATTCTTCATAAGATACTCAGCCTTATTCATTAATTGTTAATTATTTTATAGCACTGAGAGAAATTTATGCATTGAAAGTCGCACATTTGATTTTGTCACGCTTCCCCTCGTATAGCAGGCAGTAGCCACAAAAACAAATAACGATGTACCAAAACTATAAATCGTGGGGTAAAAAAGTAATAATGCCATCTTCTTATGAAACGTTCGGATTGAAAAAGGGTTGAAATTTTTACCGCTTTCTCTCCACAGGTGAAAAGCTTCAGAAAAACCACGTAAATGGCTTCCAAACTAAAGGATGTTTCCAAACTAAGGCTGGTTCTGGTGGAGGGTGATGATTACGCTAAAAGTGCTGGGGAATTCTCACTCACAGACGACAAAGTTCGAAATAAAAACATTTGGGTTTGTCAAAGTAACAGCCGAATGATGTTCTACACAGGCAGTTCGTGGGTAATTACTGCAACCCAGTACATGCAAGATGTCCTTGATGGTAGCACAGGGGGGTTTGAATCATCAAAGCCCGCTGAAGAACCATATGAAGCAAATTGGAGCCCTAAATTCAAGGTAAGTAAAGATGTTAGGAAACTGCCTTTTGTTGCGAAAGTGGGAGAAGGAAGAAATAAACCCATCCCCCTCTTCCCTTCCTTCCTTCCTCCCACAAGGATACGAACCTAAAAGTCTTGGTACGATGCAATATATTTATAGTACCTCAAGCCAGGGCATAGAGTCAGTTCACATCTGTCCAGAGTACGTATTATCATCTTTGTGTTGTTCACTCGACAAGCCATGGTCACGTAAGAACATAGTGTGTGGCCTTGCTTACCGGCGTAGTCTCTTACAAGTTTACTGGAAGATTATAGAACCGAGATTTCTTAAACTCTGAAGTACAAATCTACGTGGAGGAACCCTTCTTTCTTTTTTTCTTTGTCTCGTGATAAGTGAATGACATCTCTTTCTCAGGTCAGTGAAGTTTACCTCTCAAATAAATGGGTCGTAGCTGAACAGCCATACCGTTCACCTTCGGTTCATATTTGGTGGTCAGCGCCCGCCAATCCAGAAGTACAACGGGAAGGGGTTACCTGGTTCTACAACGAGGTGATCGTTAAAGAGACAGCGGGTAGCAGTTACTTCATGACTAATGGTTTCACTGGGGGCTACATGGGCATTCAAGATCGTTCTCCTAAGTGGGTTCTCTTCTCCATTTGGGACAAGACCTCGACAGAAGACGATCCAAATGCATCGCCGGACGACTTGATCAAAGTGCTTGCCCATGGTGAAGGCGTCACAGTTAAACGCTTTGGAGGCGAAGGAACGGGTGGCCAGAGTTATCTTACCTATGACTGGAAGGTAGGCCACACATATCAGCTCATGGTGAACGTGAAACCAGATGCAAAAGAAAACGACAAGGCCGTCTTCACGGGTTGGTTCCGCATCCCAGAGCTGAATATCTGGCGACTGTTAGCATCATTCCAGGTTCGTCCTCAGGCAGCAAGCAAGAAACTGGAGAATCCCTACTCGTTTCTTGAAGATTGGATTGGAAATGGCTACCGCCGTAAGGGCTTGTGGGGTCCAGCATGGATCAGAACAGACCGTGGTCCTTGGGTGCAAGCTACACACGGAAGAGGTACAACCACAGAGTACGATGCCAACAACAGAAACGCCTTCCTGTCTGATGACCGTAAGCATCTGGGGATGACTACTGGTGGACCAACACTGACAGATACATCCTTGGGCCCTTATACATGTGATTCCTCCAGTATTCCATCTGTTCTACGCTTGAATCCTCTCCCAGACCGCGATGGAGCTCCTGCCCGCGAGTCCTAGACTCCTACCGTCAGTATCTGAGAGCTCATTTACAAAGCACCTAGCCTAGGTGTAATGTATGCATAAATTAAAAAGGTATTCGGAATACTTTTTTAATTTATGCATACATTTTTATTTTAGGCATTTTTTGTGTATGCCTACAGAAAGTTGCATTTTCTGCATCGGTGGTCTGTCCAATTAAAAGAATGAAAAAATGATTAAGATCATGTGTAACTCATTTTTCAAATTATTACAATTAACTACTATCATGATCGATTATCATGCTATGAACATAAGAAGAGAGAGGCAAAAAATGAAGAGCCAATTCCCCTTCGGCTTCTGTATAAGAAAACTTAATCATAAACCTAACATTTAATCAATATTTAAAATATAGGTGTTTTCAAACAGCAACATACCTGATCCTTCCCACTGCATTTTTTAGCACACATGAAAGAAAATGGAACTTATGTGTAGGGTATTCACTTGTATTCTGTGAAAAGATTTTAATAATAACTGTAGCAAATGGACCACAAGTCACCATCGTACATGCTCTTACTAATCATGGAAAAGACGTCACAAACGGTTAAAACCAAAGGCGGAGTAATTGCTGACTAGTGTATCAAAGATCCTTACCCAATCAAACCTGTAGAATCCCATGGTGCAAGCCTTAATAAACTCACTGAATTTTGCCTGGCTTATAATATATGGCTCCGAAACTCAGTTAGTAGTAACGCCCTGTTAGTATCTGAGAGGCATAGGTTTGAATTCGACGAAAGATAAATTTTCAGAAAGTAACAGATAACCGTGTCAATAAATTCGCGAACTGCTATTTTATCTTCAGGTCAAATCATCATAGATTTATAACTGTTCATAGTCAGTAATGTAACTACTGGCACGCATATTTGCTGCAGTTGCTCAAAAAAATTGATACCATGGGCAAAACATCTCTTTGAGATTCTCTAGCACCCCAATGGTAATCTGGATCATTGCAAATCAATTCAGTAAACAAAATACAGTAAACAGATCGTACATTACTAAAATTCCAAGCTGACTTGGGAAAAAAACGAACTAAACACTATGAGTTTTTGAAGTGTTAATTTAATGAAAAAAAAAAACATTTACATATATCAGGAGACCATTACCTGCATATAATATATACACAAAAGCTACAAAATACTCATGGATTATATACTTAGATCCCCCTTCTGCTATTTGTTGTTGTTGTTGTTGTTGTTATTTTGATGGCGTTTTACGCCATTCTGTAATATTGATATGGCTGGCCTGAAGTAGACCCAGGTCTCTCGCTGCTGCTGGCGACAGGTGGACCTGAACACAAAACGTCAAGCAGAATTTAAGATGATAATACGTGACAAAATAAAGCCCGCTATGCCGGGCGGGTAATTTTGTGTATGAAGCGATCCTGATTTTCTATTATTAAAGCCATGCTTGAACCGATTTTTGTTTAAGTTTATTCAATTACTATGCCGAACATTACACAAATATTGACAAGTTCCAATCAAAAAATATTGATAGCGATGATAATAACAATAATGATAATAATTATAATGAATAAAATGAAGACAATGATAATTGGGACAACAACTATTTTAAAATCGTAACAATAGCAATCGATGTTTTAATTGCGTCTGTATAAAACAAATAAGCTATTTTACTGCGTGTTTGCTGAGTTTAGATAGCTGTTGCCGTCAAAATATTGTAAGGACGTCATCATTCATTTCCACAAACATTACCACTTTGACGCGAGCTGCGATGTACAACTTAGCAATGCGAAATGGAATCTTCTCATTAAATCAACAGTTTCAAAACGAAAATTTTCACTAAATTACTTACCAGTGGCTTCAGGAGCAGATGGTCCATCCCAAACAGTGTTTCTTTCTCCCTCAGTCGCTTCTTGTGGTTGGCTGTCTAGTTCTGCAGCAGCACGTGACGCGAGGTAATTGGCAAGAGCTATGAAGATCTACTCTCTCAAGAACGGATCAGCGGAGGGCTCGGTGTTAGGGGGTACCGTAGTTATCACAACTGGGAAGATTATGTCGGTGTTGAAGGCCTTCTTCACGCGCACTTTAAACTAGACAGATTCTGAAGTACAAATCGAAAAGTCTTAAATTGATGTCATAGACCCCACTTTAATTTTTTTCAATGTTGCATTCCTTAACCCTTAACATCTGGGGATCCTAACCTCACTAAGCAATTCTCCATACTCTTCTCTATTTATCCCCTGTTGTACCGACGAAGAGAATTTGTTGAACAATAGACAGCTCCTTTCGTGGCGATAATTTCCTTTACTCCCGTGACCTTGATTATTGATTTAGCAGCGATACTGTGAGGAGAAATTAGATCCTTGTCATTACTAGTGGTTAAAGGGTTAATCCTTACCTTCAGGTGCCTTGTATAGTACTGTCTGTACAAGTTGCGCTTCAAACCGGATAACTGTTTTGCTACTCTCCTTATTTACTAGTCCAGATATCTTGACCTCCTGACCAGGGCAATAAGCTAGACGTCCTATGCGGGCTTTGGTGAGCAGCTGGCCTGAAGGGCAACATGGCCAAGCCAACATACGATCTTCTTGTTTCAATCTTATTTCCTGATGACAACGAATGATCAGAGAGTAACCAAAACCTGGTGAGCGATCGCCTACATGATTTCAGGTGGGTTTGCAATTGGTGATTTTCTTCTCTCTTTGAAAAATCACTTTTGATTTTAAACATTCCTACTTAAGAAAGCAACCGGCATACGCCACACACCTTTGCGGTTTTTGCACATCTCTTTTGGGCCGGGATAAAGACGAATGTTACCAAAACATCAGCCGGCAAAGAATGAGCCAGCAGTGTTTACTTCTTCAGCCCCCTTTTTGACCGGAGTAAGACTCAGCCCCAAAAAAGCAAGACGACTGAACAACGGCTAGTTTCTCACTAGCAGAAAGATGGACGATTATAGAAATTCGCCGAAAATCACATTCTGTGCTGACTTATTCCCTGCTCACAGACTTCCTTCCGCTATATGATAAAGTTTAAAATAAGACTAGAATGCGCCATTGTGAATTAATCAAACGTCCTTTTAATTGTTAAGGCTTCCTTTCCGGCAAATAAAAGGAACTGAATGTAAAAAGTGAAAGAAAAATAGCGAAAAATTCAACTTCTTATTAAATCTTTTCTATGGTTTAGAATAAACTAGTATTATTATTAAACGAGATTATTCGTTTTAACGAGCCATCTAATTTTTTAGCGCAAAATCTCAACGATTCACCACTGTGTTTTACCCGGGGTGTGTTCAATGTATGATCAAAAGAAAGAACGTAATTTTTGCTTATCGCACAAGCACACCTTTTGAAAAGATATTGACCAAAATATTCCTCGAGTGCGAGACTGGCTAGAGGATGTTATTTCGTCTGCACAAGTGATGCCTACGTGTTCTGTTTTCTCAATAATTTTTACTTTTTCTCAGACACAATTTCTTTTCTGAGTTCTACAGCACAAATATGAAGGCTAGAAGCCCAGGGGCCCCACTCACATATTTTAATGACGGGGGGGTCCGAAGGATTTTTTTGGGTCTGAGATTTTCGCCAAAAGGGATTTTTTGGGGTCTATGAAAGACGCCGGGATTTTTTTGGGTCGCGAAAACAACACAGGGATTTTTTTGGGTATTGTATTTTTCATCAGCTCAAATCAACAATAACATAAGCGCAATTTATAGTTTTGTTTTTGACCAAAACCAAAGTTGAAGTTGGCATGTTTTAGCTTTCCAGAAGATAAATAATAAAATTTGCTGATGCAAAAACACTGAGGGATTTTTTTGGGTAGACAAATTCTGAAGTTGGGATTTTTTTGGGTATAAAATATGAACCGATGAGTGGGGCCCCTGGGGCTAGAAGAGTGCATTTATGCGAGAAAAGGATAGGTCACCGCGCTTGTTGAGTAGATAACAACCGTTTCTTTGGTCTTTGACAGCAAGCCACCTTGTTGCGTAATATTTGAGCGCACGCGTGACTTTCCCCTGTTTTTGGGCGTTTTGGGACATTTTCGATTTCGTCCGCTTCAAGAATTCAGGAAAACGGCGTTTCCACCCTGGATAGCGTTTACACAAATTTAGAACAATAACAGCACATCAGTACATCCAGCAAATTCAAAATAAAGAGATAATAACAATCAACGTGTATTTACAGATTAGAGCACATCTGAGTTAAGGACAAGTTATGGATCAATAAAACATTTTCTAACTTAGACTGCAAAACAGTCGGGTTTTTTCTCAAAATCAGAGCGAGCCGCATAAAAACGCGCGAGCGAGCGGCGTCCCACTTGCGACCCCTTTCGTGTTCGTCTCTCGCGTGACTCCTCGCAACTCCCTCCATCCTGCGAGGAAGCTCTCCAGCGTCATACGTCCGCCCTCGTGTGCCACTCGCACGATTACTTTTCACGATATTTTCTAAATGGAGAGCTTGCTTGCAGGCTAGGATTATTTTTTAAACTGTTAAGCTTTCCTCTTGGGCGTGGAATTTGAAATGTATGCTTTGCCTAGTTTTTCTTCATGCTGGGATGAGGACGTGTTGAAATTTCTTTACTGGTTAATCTTAGCTTTTGACTTGAAATTTGAAATGTCTTTTATGTACAGTGAATCCAACTGTGGTTTAAATGCGTATTGATTCAAAAAAGAAGACTGTTGTAACGGGGGGAGAGCCATCTTACATTATTTTCCAAGAGATATCCTCTATTACATTTGTTTTTGTGGTAGAGCCATCTGAGATAATTTCTAAGAAGTTAAACTTTCCTTTTGGGTCAAAACTTGAAATTTCCGCTGTGGTTTGTGCGTCGCAGAAATGGATGTTTGGAGCCGTGATACAGAATACTCATAAATTTTGAGTTGGGGCCAACCCACCATAATTGTGATCGTTCTCAAAACTCACAGAAGCACCAAGTGATTTTTTTCATCCGCTTAACATAATAAAATCATGCATCACCTTATCCAATTTGGCAACTATGAAAAATTAAAATCGATATTAAATTGTTTGGTTTAAAAAGAATTGTTCTTAGAACAACATTTTTCAGTGTTTTTAAGCTTAAAAAAGGTTAAAAGAAGACCGAGTAGCCGAGAGACCCTACCCCGATCGTTTTCTCTTTTGACTGTGGTTCAGCTTTTGGGCGGCTGCATCCCTGAAAGAAACACCAAAAAACCGCCTGG